CACACAGCCCGAGTGCATGCGAAGTACTCGTGTGTGTGTGTGTGTGTGTGAGGGGGGGGGGCAATCCCGCAGGCTGGTCATTCCCTACAGCGCGCTTTCGTCGCTCTGTCCCTCTCGCACTCTTGAGGCGTCCCGGAGGACGCGGAGGGTGCGAGAGAGACAGAGCGTGGCCAGGGCGTGGCCGCGGCCTGCGGGAGGCTTGCTCCTTCGCGCCTCGTTATGCAATCCCCGCCGCGGGCTGTCTTCGGAAACGGCGACCCGGCGAGTGTGCGTGTGTGTGTGCGTGAGGGAGAGGCTATCACGATCGGCCGCAGAGAAAAATAGCGAGAGAGGGACCGCCCAGAAACAAGGGGGGTTAGGCAGGCCGTGAGTGTGTTCTTTTCCACGTGTGTGTCAATATCGGCGGCATATACGCAAGAAGCCGACACCCAGTCACGCAGCCGGCCAGACCGCATCGAGGTGTTATCCAAGCCGGCCGAGCGGCGCCGAGCGCAAAGACTGCGGAACTCGGAGCGGGATGGCAGGACTTGCGCTGAAAATGCTATCTTTCTGTGGAGTCCGGAATGACGTCACCTCCCCGCCTCGGCCGGCCTCGGCCAAACAAGGGGACGCTGGGGCATCCAGCCATCCAGCCACACACATACTTTCGGGCGAGTTTCGGCAAAGCCGCACTGGAATCGCAGAGGGGCGGGACGTGAATCACGGAGGAGGCGGAGGTCCGCACCGACTTCAAGTCCGGGGAGGGAATTTCGGGAAACTCTGTCTCTCTCGCACCCCTGCGGACGCTGCGGAACGCTGCGGAACGCCCCACGAGTGCGAAAGAGACGGGTTGCGTCTGCAGCGGGCGGGCCGCATCACGCTCTGCTCGGAGGAGCGGGCAAGAAGGCCGCGCCAGTTTTCAGGAGAAAATGCGCCGAGTTCCCTGTTGCCTCCAGGTTCCCTCTGTTCCTCTGCAGCCCGGACGGCCCGGACGGTCAATTACTGGGCATGCCGAGTGTTGTTTTGGCTCCGGGTCTCCGGGTGGCTCCGGGTCCGCCGGCGGCGTGCGTGCGTGTGACTGTGTGCGCTGCAGCAGGAATGTCACGCAGATCGACACCAATCTCTGGCGGCTGCTGCAGCGACTGCAGCGACTGCAGTGCCGCGGCCGTGCCTGCACGACCCTCTATTCTCACGGGGGAGCCGCGCTGCGTCCCACGCCGGCGGAGAGTCGGAGAGAGAGAGAGAGAGAGAGAGAGAGAGAGAGAGAGAGAGAGAGAGAGAGAGAGAGAGAGAGAGAGAGAGAGAGAGAGAGAGAGAGAGAGAGAGAGAGAGAGAGTTTAGTTTTTAAAATTATTTATTGGGGGGATTTTGTTTTTAACAATTAGGGCCAGGACATGAGTTCAATTTTGTCACAAAATATGCATGCAGTATTATTGTTTTTTTTTTTTAGTGTTTATGTTGTGCTGCAGTGTTTACATTTTTGTGAGCTTAGATAAAATTTTATAATTTACAGAGTATGATATTTTTTTTTTAAACAAAGAGAGAGAGAGAGAGACGGAGCGCCCTGCCGTGTGTGGGATGAGTCACGGGTCACGGGTCAGTCAGGTGGACCCTCCCTCCTCCGGCTCCACGTCCAGCTAGTCCGGGCTGCTCAGCTCCGGGAGGCCGTGTTCCTGACAGAGTAGGTACGAATCAATCCGGAGAGAGGGTGGCGCGGTCACGACTCAGGGATGCTGCGCCGCCGGGGCACCACGGCACCACGGCACGCCGCCCAGTATGAGTCATCGCCAAGGTCGGCGCGCCGTTGGTACCCGTACCGCCTGCCTGGCCCCCGCCCGGCCGCCAGCCCGTACCCACGGCTCCATGGTCCAGTGCAATGCCCCGCCCCGCCTCCCCGCCCCCCGCCAGCCCCCCAGCGGCCCTGCGCCCCGAAAAGCCAAGCCTCCACGGCCGTGCGGCCCCGCCCCGCCCCCGCCCCGCCCCGCCCCGCCCCCGGGGCCCTCACGGCGGCCTGGCGGCCTCACGTCTGCATGCGTGCCGCGCCGCCCAGAGCCGTGCCTTACCGGTCCGGCACCACCCGGCACCAAAACTGCGGCATGATCACTGGGTCACGGAACACCGCGCCGCGCGCCGCGCGCATCCCATGCAGGAATCCACCTGGAATGGTGAGTCACGAGTAGAGTGTCCCTCCCCGCCCCGCCGCTCCGCCGCGTCTCTTCTCGCGGAATGCGAAAAACAACAAAAACAAAACCGAATAAAACGATAAAAAGTAAATAAACGGGCCGGGGTGGGATTGCTGCGCGTCCGCCGCGTCCGCCGCGCGTCGGGCGGCTCTGAAGAAGTGTCCCTCCGACTCCGCCAAGAACAGCACCTCTCTGCATCCATCTCTGTCGCGCGGCCGCCGCGTCAGTCATTACCTCGCGCAGCCATTTGCCGGGCCGAGGGACAGCCGCAGTGCAGGCAGCGCAGGCCCTCACCGTGCCCGCACCCCGCGCAGGTGGGCCATGGTGGGCCGGTGGGCCCACGCATCAAGCCTCGCCACCCCAGCGGGGCGCAGCCTAGCCTAGCGCCGAGCAGTGCAATTTCGCGCGACATCATTACACACCCGAGATTGCACCGAGACAACATAATTTTAAGGGGCCCTGTGTATGTGTGTGTGCGTGTTTGTGTAGACCAGTTTGGCGCCGAGTCTGCCAATGTCTGTCGCATCAAATGGAGGAAGGCAAGCAACGTTTTCGGGCAGAGCCTGGATTCCTGGCGCAGTCAAGAGGCAGTACGTAAAACAATGCCGCCGTGCCATGGGGAGAGCGGGGGGAATGTCTGACCTCACCTGAGGCCTCAGACGAGGCAGAGTCCCTCGGGACAGGGCTTCGCTGCTTCGCTCGCCCAGCAATCATCACGGAGGCGATTCGGTGCCGGCCGACTTCTCGTCCAAGCGGAGCAGCGGAGACCTCTTGACCCGCCTTTGTTGCCCCACTGCATGAACCGCGAGGTACTCCACTGCTCGCGAGCCGACACAGTCTTGCAGTGCTGTGGCTTCTCATTGCTGCCTGCATCTGTGGCCACTGCTGGGTTGCTGGGTCGCCGGGTCTGGGCTGGGCCCCAAGGGGCCGTGCTGGCGTGCTGGGCCCCGCTGGGCCCCGCGACGAGGCGAGCCAAGCCTTGCAGCTGCTGCCACACCCCCTGGGCCCCTGGGCCGCCACTACCACCGCCCTCGGGTGGCCCGCCCCGCCCCGCCCCGCCCCGCCCCGCCCCGCCGCGCCCCGAACAGCCTCCTCTCACGGCAATGGCAAGGAGGACCCTGCCGTGCCACGACTCAGACCTCTCTCTTTGTGCGGCCCCTCCTTCCACGTCATTTGACAGGCCCCTCGCGCCACGCTGATATCAATTTTATGACTTTCTGGGGGAGACACTTGAATTCCCTGGAAATCGGACGCAGAACGACAGGAGGCCTCCGCGCGCACGCAAAGCAATGATCCCTGGATTGGCAGCTTGTTCTGGTGGCCTGGCCTTTTGGCTCGAACCCCGTCGCACAAGACGCACTTGACCCCCCCCCCCCTCCCCCCAACACACACTCACACACACAGAGTGCGCGCGCCGCAGCTGCCGGAACAATAATAAGACCATTCACGGCGCACAAACGCACTCCATTTCCCCATTGATCCAGGTGATCCGGGACGACGACGGCGAGGTGGTCCTGGAGGGCCTGGAGGGCCTGGAGGAGGCCCCCGGGATGAACAACAAAGTCAGCGGGGATAAAGGCGAGGCCGTGGCGAAGGCAACGCGGAGCGAAAACACCCATCCATCGCTGTGCCGCGCTGTGCGTTGTGCGGCTTCCCGTGCACTCGAGCGTGGCAGACAAGTGTCCAACGTCTGTTAGTATACTCCTGGAGCAGCGGGACGGTCTATCTTTCCGCAGTATTCCGTCGTGGCCACGCGGCGACGCCAGACAGTGCTGTCTCTCTCCGTCGCACGTTTGGGGCGCCCCGAACAGGTGAGAGAGAGAGAGAGAGAGAGAGAGAGAGAGAGAGAGAGGAGAGAAGAGAGAGAGAGAGAGAGAGGAGAGAGAAGAGAGAGAGAGAGAGAGAGAGAGAGAGAGAGAGTTTAGTTTATAACAGGATTTATTGGGGGGTTTTTAAGTTCACAAAGCGGGCCAAAAAGGGGTGTGTGAAAATTTGTCACAAAAAAACATGCAGTTTTGATGTCTCTTGAGGTATTTATGGTGCATGATGCAGTGTTTTACAATTTGTTTTTTTTTTTTTTTTTTTTTTAAACAATTAACATTTTTTTAAATAAAGAAAATAAGATAATTTAATAAAGAAAAAAGATTAGTAAATAATATGCATTTTTAAGGATACTTCAAAAAGGTTGTCTTTATGGCGCCGTGCAGGTAGGCAACAGCGCACTGGCTCTCTTCGGTGTGACGATGGTGGCCTATGCTCAGGGTGGCAGGGGCCCGGTTTACAGCAAAATGATGACTGATTTAGACTTGCAAGAAATGGATTGTAGACATATGTTTACATTGAAATTGTTTTTCTGGAATTCTTCTTTCTTCTCCTTCTTCATTTTCTACAAAGTGGTGATTTCCTCTTTGAAGAAAAGAGAGGAGAAATTGATTCGAGGGGTTGGTATTTCTCCTTGTTTACATTTTCTTCTTTTTCTTTTTCTTGAGTTTGAAGCTTGTTGATTTTGCTTGTGCTTTTCTAATCAGATAATTAAAAATTTCTGAGGGCATTGTTGATGTAGAAAGTCTCTTCAAACTTAATTCTGAAACCTGTTACTTCAGCGTGATGTTCTTCGAGTGCTAATCTGTACTTGAGTCTTCTTTTGAACAATTTGAGATAACAAGGGTTAGGTGGATTTTCTTCTTTGATTATATTCATGTAGCATCTATAAATGGTGCTTTTGGCAAGGACTAGAATGAAATTGGATAAATTTGCAGCTGGGTTCTTTGATGGGAAGCCAACTAGCAGCTGTTCGTAGTTTGGGAGCGCTGAGTGATTGATGGTGGAAATTTTTTGATGAGATGAAATTCCAGAGAGGTTTAACATGTTGACATTGGAAAAACATATGCATTGTATTTCCTTCTTCTTCTTTGCACCATGGGCACTGTCCTGATGAGATGACTTTCCAGAGATTTAGTCTTCTAGGAGTAACAAGAGAGTTGTGAAGAAGTCTCCATGTAATATCGGAGTCTCTTCTGTCCGTTGGATATCTGTAGATAACATCCCACTTGATGGGCTTGTCAAGCCAGGTGATTTTTCCTGTAACTTCTGGATTCTTCAAATAGTTTGCAGGGTGGTGAGGTAATGTTGTTTTCTTGTTCCAGGAAATTTTCTTTCTTCATTTGATGGTTGAGCTTTGAACTTGAATTGGATTGGCGATTCTTCTAGAGACATCTTCTTGGCAAGAAAATTTTTAATTTGAGTGAAATTGTTTTTGATTCTCCTCTGGGTTGGTGCTGAGAGGTTTTGAATTTCCAAGTCCGCCCAATTTCCTTGAGAGGTTAGTAACTGTCCAAGTTTGGTAATTCCGATGGTGCGCCATTCAGGAATGATGCTGATTTCTTCTGTTTGGATTATTTTACTTCCATAAAGAGGCTTTTCTTTCAGTATTGAGAAAGTAAATTGTGTTGTTATTAGGGTTGGTTGAATATCATACCATGCATTTAAGAGACTAAAATAAAAGTTGTCCAGATTTGCCATTTCAGTGATGTTCTTCTGCTGCATGAAAAAATGTTGAGGTGTTGACTTTCCATAGAGAGACATGTTGTAATGATGATATAGGAAAACTGGTTCTTGGCAATCAAAATTTTTTTGAATGTCTTGCACTAATTTAAGTCTTAATGATTTGGTTTTTGCTTCCAGGTGCGTGAGTCCCACTCCACCTAATTCTGTGTTTGAAAAAAACATAATTTTTATGGAGCCAGTGCTTGCCTTGCCATATGAAGTCAACCATGGATTTTTGGACTTCTTCAAAGAACTGTCTTGGTGGTTGAAGAATGTTGAGGGTGTGGATGAGTTGGGACCCTGCCAGCTGATTGCAGACAATTTTTCTCCCAATAAGAGAAGTGAGTTTCACATGTTGGGACCAGTTATTAAGAGTTCCTTTGATTTTTATGATGAGTGAAGTCCAATTTTCTTCTTCATATTGTGGAGTATTTCCTATGAATACTCCCAAAATCTTCAGTCCATCATTGCTCCAATGACAATCTAATGGTTTATCATTCCTTTTTTTCCAGGCACCACAAAAGAGGCCTTTTGACTTTGTTGTATTAAGTTGTGCTCCTGATTCTTGGCTATAATAGCTATAGGCCTGAGATATTTTTTCAAAGTCTTGATCATCAGTTATGAAAAAATGTACATCATCCGCAAAAGCTGTTGAGTGTACTTTCAAGTTGGAGCTGGGAATGGGGATCCCACTCTGGGTCATCATCTTGGCAGCGAGGCGGAGGAAGGGCTCAAATGAGATAACGTAGAGTGGCCCAGCAATTGGGTCACCCTGTCGAAAGCCATTCTCAAACAGGAAAGGGGCTAGCAGTGAAGATCCAATCTTGACAAATCCCATTGTTTCTTGAATTAGTGCAGATATTGATCTTCTTAAATTTGGTCCAAAGTTATGGAGTTTGAGAAGATGTTCTAAATATTTGTGGGATATTTTGTTAAAAGCTCCAGACTGATCTAAAGCCAAGATTGCAAGGTTTGTTTGGTTCCTGTTGGAATAACGAATGACATTTCTTACTAAATGCAGATTGTTGTAAATTGTTCTGCTGGGAACACAATAGCTTTGATCAGAGCTGAGCAGTGATTGTAAGACTGAGGCTATTCTTTTACTGAAGATTCTTGATATTATTTTGTAATCACAGTTCATCAGGGCAATTGGTCTCCAACTTTTTAGAGTAGTTCTGTCCCCTGGTTTGGGGATTGGAGATATGACTATTTTCTTCATAGATTTGGGAAGTTGTCCGGTCTCTTGAAAATGTTGAACCATTTTGGTGAATAGGTTTTTAAGATTTTCCCAGAAGAATTTATAAAATTCAATTGGCAAACCGTCCATGCCTGGAGCTCGGTTTAGTTGTGCACATTGTATGGATTCTTTTATCTCTTCTTCAGTTATTTTTTCTTCACACTTTTCTGAGTCATGCTGACTCAGAGAGGGAGTATCTTGGTAGAGAGTACTATTTGGATTAAAATTCTGGGACAAATTTTGTGAACTAAACTCACTCTGAAAATGCTTCTGGACTTCTGTAAAAATTGCAGTCTTGTCTGATGTTACTTGCCCATCAATTAAAAGTTCATTTATAACAGCTGAAGGCTTAGATTGCTTTGCAATTCTGAGGAAAAATTTTGATGAAGTATTGGCTTCTTGACGGACTTGTGACTCCAACAAATTTAATTTGAGGGATGCGTCCTTGTTGTAAATTGATGATATTTCTTTGTGGATTTGAAGCAGAAGTTTTTGATCATTTCTTGACAGTTCTTCTTTTTTATCAATGTGACTTATTGTTGAAGTAAGTGTCTTGAGTTTTTCTTCTGAATCTTCTTTTAGTTTTTTGGAAAACCGTTGTGAAGCTAAAGATATTTCTTGTTTCAAAAAAGTCCCACAGTTGAACTATATTTGAATTTTCTTCTTGCTCCTTTTCTTCAAAATATTCTATGATGTTTTTTATGATTTGAATATATTCATTTGACTTGAGAAGAGTTACATCAAACTTCCAATAAGGTGTTTTATAATTCTTTTCAAAAATATTTAGAGTGATGGTTACTCCATCATGGTCAGAGAAGGATGGAATAATATTTGTGCTTTGTACTGCATGTAAGTTACGGGCTTGGATGTAAGCACGATCCAGTCTAGCCATGGGATGATTGTTTTGTAATCCTCTGTAGGTGAATTGTTGTTTGTTAGGGTTGAAGTTTCTCCAAACATCAGTCAGATTGTACTGTTGCAGAAGAACTTGGATTTGATTTACTAATTGAGTTCTTTTTTCAGAACAGTTTCTTCTATCTTCTTTGGCTAAAGTTGTATTCCAGTCTCCAGCCATTATGATGATGGCATCTTCACTTGTAATTGTTGACAAAAAATTATGAATTTTGTTTAATACCTGAGATGCAACCTGTGCATTATGAGGCATGTAAACATTTATGAAGTAAAATTTGTAGCTCTTGATTTCAAGATGCAGTGCTTGTAAGTATCCAGGGACTAGATTTGATTCTTGAATTATCTTGGTTTCTTGAAGAAGTTGATTCTTGATGGCAATGGCGACGCCTGAAGAAGGTTGTACAGGGGGGTTAAGGAAGAATGTAAAATCCATAGTTCTAGCCATCGGTGTTGATCTTGAAAGATTAGTCTCTTGCAAAAAGAGCACTGAATTGTGGTGATTATCGGCAAATTGTTGTAGGCAAAGTTGTTTTTCTTGTGTGACTAAACCTTTAACATTCAAAGTGAGAATGCTAAGCATGATTACCACCACAGATGTTAATGTGAATATCGACATTTTGGCTTTTTGTACAATTTTTTTTTTACTGATAGGCACAGTAAAAAATATAAAAAGCTGTTATCACTGTTTTTCATTGTTCACTCTGGTCTTCTGGATTTTCTTGACTTCTCAAAGCGTCTGCTGCACGCTGAAATCTCCTTTTAAGATTGAAGTCCATGCAGACGTTTTCGGCTTCTTGAAGTTGAACTATCAAGGCTCCAAAATTCTGAGTATATCTGGCTGCAATATTTTTGGAGTTGGACTTGCCTCGGGCGTCTTTCATGAAATCAATGAAGTCTTCTCTCTTCAGGAAGGATTCTTTGAAAGTCATTTGGTTGAGTACTGTCTGGAGGGCATCTTCTTTATTCTTCTTTACTTTTTGCTTCTTGTTGGGGGCAGATGATGAGATTGATGATGTTGTGCTTGAATCAGTGTTCATATCGAGATCAGTTTCTCTGTCTTTTTCAGGGGAACGCTCTTTTCTCTTGACACTTTCATTCTGAGATTGATAGTACCAACTTGACTCCAGTTGGCTGTCCATCAAATCATCAATTTGTGAAGTGTCAGTTACTTTCTCACTTGAGTTTCTTGGGGTAAATAATGTGTCTCCATAAATAGTTTCCGTAATGGAAATTTCTTGAGGTTGCTCATTCCGCTGTTGGGGTACTTGACTTGTTTCGGGTGTTAGGATGGTAGGAGTGCTGAAAGTGAACTCTGAGTCTTGCAATGTGACTGTCTGAGATGACATGGAAGTAGAAGGTTGCAGCACTGTAGCAGCAACGAAATTTGGCATGGGAATGTGGGGTACTGAACTTGAACTTCCAGATGGTTGTTGTCCAGTTGTTGGGCGGGATGTTCTGTTGATCAACAAGCGTTGAGAAACTGGTGGTCTGATGGCTGGGAATTCTTGATCCTGGTTGAGTTTCTTCTTGCATTTTGCCTCGAGATGTCCTGGCACGAGACAGAAGTTGCACATAATGTCATCTCGGTCAATGTACAAGGTGACCTTGTTGTTTTCAACAGTAGTAACCAGTATTTTTTTTTGGCATTTCTGGAGCTCCAGAGGGAATCATGATGAATATGGATCTCTTCCAGGACTTGACGTGTTTGAGATCATCATGAGTTGTTGATACTTTGAGTCTGGTTGGGGCAGAGACAACTCTTCCGTAGGGTGCTAGGAGGTCCTTGAGATCTTCGTCATGAATTTCAGGAGGACAATTTGAAACTATGAACTTGGTTGCTTCAGTAACATAGCGTCGACAAGGGTAGTAAAGTGGACCAATCTGTATCCCTCCTTCCTCGCAAATTTGGTTTACAAAGTTCTCATTCGTCAGGTACATACAAACTCGCCCTCCACTAAGGCGGGTACAGTAATGAATGTTTCGTCCTCCTATCACATCAGCGACAGCTCGGAGGCACTGGTCTTGACTGACTTGGTGAATGTTTTCAATGATTATGGCATTCTTCCTATTGGGAGAATAGGCAATGTTGTTGTTGTCTTGTTGGTTGGGGTTGGTTTGGGGGGATTTTGAGGTTAAGTTTTCACTAGCACTGGGTTCACTTTCAGAGTTTCTTGAGTAACGGGGTTTAAGTTGGACATGGGGGGCTCTTGAAGATGATGCTGCACTCGCGTAATCCATGTTTGCGAAAGGATGCTGGTTTCGTTGTTAAAGTTGACTTGTTGAAAAAGGCGGGAAAAGTCCACGAGTCCGGCTAGGACTGATTTCACTTTTCCGCCCGATCCGTCGGGGGAATCGTGGAAATTTTCTTCACATTATGATCACTGTCACTGACTGATTTTGTTCTCTAATGGGTTTTGGACTTCTTTCACCAGGAAACACTAGTAAAAGGGCTAAATCTGGGAGCCTCACTGGAGCACTCTGTCTACCTCAAGAGAGAGAGAGAGAGAGAGAGAGAGAGGAGAGAGAGAGAGAGAGAGAGAGAGAGAGAGAGAGAGAGAGAGAGAGAGAGAGAGAGAGAGAGACTCTCTTTTCGGAACCGCTTTGCCCCAGCCACGCGCAATCAGACTGGAATGCCCCTGCCTGCGCCGTAAAAAGCCATGCGCCACGCAACCAAGCGTCCCGGCATTATTTGTTTACTATTTGTTACGCGAGGAATAAAGGTCTCTTCCATTTCACAATTATTCGAGGTTTTCTGTGCGCGATGCGCGAATATGAAGACCCGGCGGCCGACGGCGGTTCCACGGTTCCCAAACTTGTTGTTCTTGTTGTCCCTCCTCGTGCGGGTTTGGACTCCAACACTCCAACGCAGGAACCAAACGGAATGCGCATGGATTTCGTTCCTGCTGTACGGCCTTGAGGGTGTGCGTGTGTGTGTGACGTGACGTTTATCAATGCCGGGCCCACGAAAGTGATTGGCCATGTTTTTGGGCGCGCGGCGCCAAAAGCCAAAAGGCGTGAGGCGATCCACAA